TTGAAGCCCCGACCGTAGCTGCTAGCTTGACATGGTGGTCGGGCTTGCCTATCGTGATGACCCAACAGAGTTATATTGAATAGAGCTTATGTTTCTGAAGGTTCTACCATAGCAGGTAGGTCGATTGGAGAACGATGAGCTACTCAAGGTCTAAGGGAGAAGTCGTACTGCTGACTGTGATGGAGGGGTGTGACAGCAATAAGGTGTTTCCCTCGGACAACCAGCATCTGCAGCGATGCTGCCTTCTCACAAGGAACGAAGGGTTAAAAAAGGTCGACCCTTAAAATGTCACACCTCACCCTACCTCACGGATTTCCGTCTCCTGTGGTAAGTGTGCCCAATAAGGGGTTTTAAGAGCGGAACTAATACTCAAAAACCCTTTTAACAAAAGGCCATGCGTGACCGGCCTGAAGCAGTTGTCCCCTGGGCTTTGCGGTCACCCACCCAGGTCTCTAAGACTAACACTCATCTACCTTCTTTTTCAGGTCCCTCAATCTTGAAGCCATTTAACAACTTCTACCGGGTGTGACAACTTCCTGTTTCTCTGACTTTATTCTCTCCTTCATTTAAACGGATCACCGTTTATTTGAACATTTTGTTCAATTACTTACTTTTACTTTTGCCTGTTACCCCCAATGGAGCATAGGCCGCCCACCAGTTTTCTCCAACCAACTCTGTCCTGGGCTTCTCTCTCCAGTTCTGTCCAATGTTTGTTCATTCCTCTCATATCTTTCTCTATTTCTCGGCGTAGTGTGTTCCTTGGCCTTCCTCTTTTCCTTTTGCCTTGAGGGTTCCATGTGAGGGCTTGTCTAGTGACGCAGTTGGGTGCTTTTCGTAGTGTATGTCCTATCCATTTCCACCGCTTCTTCCTGATTTCCTCCTCCATTGGAATCTGACTTGTTCTCTCCCACAGTATGTTGTTGCTGATGGTGTCTGGCCAACGAATACGAAGTATTTTGCGTAGACAACTGTTAATAAACACTTGTATCTTCTGGATGATGGCTTTGGTAGTTCTCCATGTTTCCGCTCCATACAGTAGAACTGTCTTGACATTTGTATTGAAGATCCTGATTTTGGTTTTGGTTGAAAGTTGTTTGGAGTTCCAGATATTTTTCAACTGTAGAAATGCAGCCCTTGCTTTGCCAATCCGCGCCCTCACATCTGCGTCCGATCCACCTTTCTCGTCGATGATGCTGCCAAGATATGTGAAGGTGTTAACGTCCTCCAAGGTATCTCCATCAAGCGTGATTCGGTTGGTGCATGTTGTGTTGCATCGGAGAATTTTGCTTTTTCCTCTATGTATGTTGAGACCTACTGCTGCAGAGGCTGCTGCTACACTGGTCGTCTTCTCTTGCATTTGTTGTTGAGTGTGCGATAGAAGAGCCAGGTCATCTGCGAAGTCCAGATCGTCCAGCTGCGTCCTAACTGTCCAGTTGATACCGTGCTTCCCTCCAGATGTTGACGTCTTCATAATCCAGTCGATGACCAGGAGAAAGAGAAAGGGTGAGAGTAAGCAACCTTGCCTGACACCGGTCTTCACCTCAAAAGAGTCTGTCAGCTGACCTCCGTGTACGATTTTGCAGTTGAATCCATCATAAGAATTCCGTATGATGTTGACTATTTTCTCAGGCACACCGTAGTGTCGAAGAAGCCTCCACAGTGTTTTCCTATCCACGCTATCGAATGCTTTCTCGTAGTCGATAAAGTTGATGTAGAGTGGTGAGTTCCATTCAATTGATTGTTCCACAATGATCCGTAATGTAGCAATTTGGTCAGTACACGATCGATCCTTACGAAATCCAGCCTGTTGATCTCGAAGTTGGGCGTCTACGAAGTCCTTCATTCTGTTTAACAATACTCTGTTGAAGACTTTGCCTGGTATTGAAAGAAGAGTGATGCCTCTGTAGTTTTCACACTTGCTGAGATCGCCTTTCTTTGGTATTTTGATCAGGTATCCTTCTTTCCAATCTGATGGTACTTGTTCCTCATCCCAAATCTTCTTGAAGAGAATGTGAAATATTTTCGCAGTTGCTTCCACATCTGCTTTCATTGCCTCTGCTGGAATGTTGTCTGGTCCTGCTGCTTTGCCGCTCTTGATTTGTCTGATGGCTATACTGATCTCCTCAATCGTAGGTGCGCCAATATTAATTGGGAGGTCCTTGGATGCTGCTTCGATGTTGGGTGGGTTCAGTGGAGCTGGTCGATTCAATAGTTCCTTAAAGTGCTCCACCCACCTATTTCGCTGTTCGTCAGTGTTGCTGATTACTTTGCCTTCCTTACTTTTCACTGGTCGTTCTGGTTTACGATAGTTTCCGGCGAGCTTCTTTGTAGTTTCGTACAATTGTCTCAAGTTTCCTTCTCTTGCAGCCTTTTCCGCCGTCATTGCTAGATAATCCACATATTTTCGTTTGTCATCTCTGATGCTCTTCTTCACTTCCCTGTTTGCTTCTGTGTATTCAGCTTGTGCCTTAACTTTCTCTGCTCTTGTTCGGCTGACATTGATAGCTGCCTTCTTGTTCCTCCTTTCTTGAATTTTTTCAAGAGTACCAACAGAGATCCATTCCTTGTGATGGTGCTTCTTGCGACCAAGGACCTCCTGACATGTTGAAGT